ATTTAATAATGACCTGTAAACAGAAACATAATTTGTGAGCAAGCTTAGAAATGTGTTAGAAATGTATTTATATTATGTGTTAATAAAGTCTTCTGTAAATTAGTTATTAAGTGTTGACTGTTGAGTTACATATTAATTAGTTGTGATCTTTCAGCTGAATGCATAATTGAAATGTTTTTGTGTGACATGTTAATCAAGGAATATTTTACACTGATCACACATGATAGTAAATGCTAGTAAATGGTCACATTTCAGTTGCAAGTGTACTTATACATGTTATATGTTCTGAACATGTTTGTATGTCCTGTTAATCAGAACTCAAACAAAGGACAAATAATCATAGAGTGATTAGCAGATCACTGTTTTAAAATGTAATTTACAGATCTTCACCTTCACATCTTAACACATTATACATAAATCTATAACACATTTCTAAGCCTGCTTATAAATGACATGTATATTTGGGTATTTTTAAGTGCTTGTTAATAGTCTATAAATTGTTAAAAAAACAGACCTCAAAATAAAGTGTCACACATTTTCCTTCCACTAAATACTTTAAATATTAATTTACCAGGTAATTATATATATGTACTACCCAAATAAATACAATCACCAGGTTTTAGTAATAATACCGCTTCAAAACAAATGTGTTTGTAAAGGATGATAATTACCTTCTTAATCTATGTTTGTTTAAATTTTAACAAATTCCATTCCCACTATTTTTTTTCTTTTTGACATGACATAGCTAAAGTCACATTATGTTTAAATCATATATTTTTGTCACAGAATTTGTAGATTATATATATATATATATATATATATATATATATATATATATAGATAGATAGATAGATAGATAGATAGATACATATAAATATATATAGTATTAACAGCTTATGTAGTGATCTAACTGAACAACTGTTACATTGATGCCAAAGTTAATATTCCAATTATTCGTATCTACTGAATTAGCTAGCTTGTCCTATAAGCTACGCTGCTTGCTTTTCCCTTTGAATGGTGCTTGTCCATTTGACTTGTCCTTGCTATGTTTACAAATGCAGCCTTTCATGGTAACCATTAAAGCTGCAGTAGGTTACTCTGGAGGCATAAAAATAACCATCACATTTGCTAAAACTGTCTGCATGCCCAGACAGTAGTCTGTGAGACAGACAATCTTTGTAAAAATCAGGCTCCTCTGACTCCACCTCCTTAGACTACGAATGCCATTTGCAAGAATCCACTGCACCTGAATCAAAACAATCAATCAGAGCCCTGAGGAGCATCTGATGGATTGTCAGTCACTGCTCATGCACATGCTGCAGGCAGCTGTTCTCCCCATGCACACGTACTCTGTGAAGCTCAATATCTTCAGTGAGTAGCTTTTATTAGGCAGTCAAGCTCAGAAGACACTTTTAAGAAACATCTGAAAATGTATCTCTTTAAATTGGCATTTCATTACAATTCTACATCTCTTTTTGTTATATTTTAAATTGGATCTGTCATTGCTATAATATCTTCTATTACTGTTAAGCTTTATCATCTCATTCTTGCCTATGACCATTCAGTACAGTCAAGTATGCTTTTTCCCTAGCCTAATACATTTTTCAAAGTGGGCTGTTGTTGTTTAGACAATGTTTAATAACACGGGACACAGCTGTTATTAAAGCCAGCATAAGTCTTTCATTTATCAAACTATTAATTTATTGACTGATTTTTATTAAGGAACAGCCACTTTTTTCTGTGAACAAACATTTTTAAAAGAACTCTGGACCGGAGACCGTCACTAAAGACACAGATGCAGTTCCTTTTCCTTTTCCGTTGCTGAAGCAGCTTGCTAATCCAGTGGCCAAGTTTCTTGCTCTGCCGGTTTCAAAAACCAAGCACCTGCAGTAACTAATACCAAAGCATCTGCTGCCCTTACCCTGACTTACAGTGTCACTGTTTCTGCCTTGGACTTCCAACTTTCAACTCTGTAGAACATCCAGAGATGTAAGTAGAGAAACATCATTCTCATTCAACATAATGTCACTTGTCACACACAGTTGCAAAAAACTGTTATTTTCAAAACCACCTCAAAACTGCCTGACTTTTGTTCCACCTCGTGAGGAAAACAGTGAGACAATAGTCCAGTGTGACTGCAGCTTTACAAAGCAGGACTTTTGCTATTTTTTTTTAAACAAAGGTTCTACAAGGATGCTAAAACATTTGAGGGGTTTGTCCCAACAAGGCATCTGTAATGTGACAGACCCAGTCAGACGCTTGCGGTAAAATCCAAGAGAAGACGCTTTACTACAAAAGGGATTGGCAAGAATCGTAGTAGTGGTACAGATGTGGGTCAAATCCAAAATAGCAAAAATGCAAAACAGAGCAATCATATCCAGTAGGGCAGAGACAAAAGACAGTGATGAATGATCCAGAAGAGAGTCCAATAAACCAAAAAGGGAACCAAAAAACACAATGGAAACGCTCAGTAGTTCTGCAGGAGAAACAATCCCTCGCAATTTGGCTAAGCTAAAGCCCAGGCTTATAATGGACATTGAGCACAGGTGTAGAGAATCAGTACTCAGGAGACTTAAAGCACTGATTGGTTGAACAAGGAAGTTCAGTCACAAAATCTCCCAAAGAGTTCTGGGAAATGGAGTCCATGTGTGAATGGAGGCCGGAGGGATGCGTAACACATCTGTCATGCTACCTTCGCGGTGTTGCAGTGGTTCTTGCTGTAAAGATGACCACAGGCTATGGCAATTTAAACAAAATTGTGGGCAGTGAACCAATACTGTAACTGATGAACTGACTTGAAGTGGCAGCAGTTTGTATCACTTTTCTTACCTTCACTGATTAATTCTGAACTTTTTCGTTGTCTTTTGAAAGGAATAAAAAATGATGCATGTTTAAATGGCTAAACAAAAAAAATCAACTGCATCAATTTAAAGTAAATATTTTTTAGTGACTGACTGAAGATGACTCAAGTGTTTTAGGGTGTGTACTGTTCTAATTAAAAGTGGGGGAACATATAACATGGACTATAACAGTAGTTACTATGTTCCAAGGGAATGTGTGTGTATACATACACAAATCATGTGTGCGTTAGTATGTTTTCTGGAAGGTGGAAAAGATATAAGAACTGGTAGCCTAATTACATTTGCTTTTATTGGCATAAAAATTAGATCATTTAGGCCAATGAAAGTTTTTCACGGAGTGCTAATGGGGAGAGATTATAAGAAGGTGTCTAAAGAAAAGACTAAAAAAAAATCAGAGCTTCTGCTTACACTTTTCCACTGTCTGAAATGTCATTAAGGCATGGAATTTAAAAAGTGTGTGGTCGATACCAAAGAGCTGTATGAATATTTAGGTGGCACATGAATAGTACTGCACCGGGTTATAGCACAAACATCATCTTCATGGAAAAGTAATCAGAAAGACTGGAGATGTTGCAGAACAACACCAAGACACCGGAGGCATTTTAGAAAAAAGGGCTGTGAACTGATGAAACAACAACAACAAAAAAACTTTGCATACAACCACTACAAGGTATGTTTGGCAGAAAAGGATAAACATTTTAACAAAATAACACCTTACCAACTGTTAAGCATGGGTGTGGATCTGTTGTGCTCTGCAGCCCTGTGTTAGAAAGTGGCACAAATTTCATTAAGACTTGCAGTTGTCATGATTTTTTATGATACACAATTTGTTTGTTCTCATTGTTGTTTATGTTCCTAAAGAATATTGGAAACAAGGTAAACATGGCACAGGTGAGTCTCAAGTATTTCATTTTCTTACCAAAACAACACAGCAACATAGAATTAAAATGATATGAATACTAGGACTAATATTTAATAATGATCTATGCCAAATGTATTTCAAACTCAGAATTTAATAATGAATTGTTGGACAATTTTTTTTTAATGGATTACAGATACACACACAACAAAAAAAACAAAAAGGTAATCTGTGATCCAAAAGAAATATTTGCCTACGCCTACATACAATTTCTTTTTAGACAAACATAAAAAAAACAAAATGCAGTATTCATGTACATTTTTTAAATGAACTTTCAATAAATTATGCTACTAGAATGTTTCAGTACATGATGCATTTGCAATTTATGGGTAAACCTTAGTTAAATTACTATTTTGGGCAATGTGCACAAAGTATTTTTGATACCTACTGATAGTATATGAACTGGATATTCTAATTATTTCTCTATATTTCACTCAACATGAATGATGCACATATTTACATCTCAAAATATGAGCTATATGCTGTGAAAACAAAAGCTGCATTACATAACTGATCATTAGTAAAGTCAAGTAGCATCAATGTCAATGGATAACAGATATGTTGGGGAAATAAAAACATAATTCTGTGGAAAAAAAATAAATGTACTTATAGTCTAATAATTTCATTCCTACTCCAACTCCTCTATGGAAGGTCAGAAAACAATCATAGTTTGGGAATTTACAAACCTTGTAACATTAAATTTTACATGGTAGCATGAATTATCAAAGAAATACAAGATACTTATTAATGTTTGAGATAAGTGAGCATTCAGCATAGATAGGCAAAAAGATATTTTTTCATTATTGCAATAAATTTTATCATCGAGATACACAACATACTTCTCTAAGCATATTGATATCGTCAGCACTTAAAGAACACTGACCGACTGCATGTTTCATTAGATTGAGAACATGATTAGTCCTGCTTTATTGGATTTGGTGAAGCACAGTTTGTGAAATAAAAAGTTACTGAGGTTATGTCAATTTTTAATTGTGTAACAACAAGTGCATTATGTCTGTGTCATAATATCAAGATATACATGTATCGCAAAAATATCTTTAAATATTTATATATTTTTGCTATATTGATCACCGCTATTTCAGCATTTTCATGACTATACTGATTCAATTATTCTCATAAATGAGCGAGAAAGCACAGTGAATAAACTGTGATACTGAGCTGTTCACAAACTCACATTTTGGGGTGCCTTATTGGGAGTCTTATTTTCCTTTCATTGAATAAAGTTGACAAAAAGCTGTTAAACCACACATAGCATTATGTTTTAAAAAAAGGACAAACTTTTCATCCCTGAGACCATAAATCAATGGACTAAGACAACGTGGTGCAATAACAAATAAAATAAAATTAGAAAATCTTACATTATGAAACACCAAGAAATCTACCTTCCAAAAAGGCATTTCTATGTATGGGGTTAAAAAATTAACTATACACAGAAACAGCTGAAAGGCATGAAGCAGCACAGTTCTGAGACTCTTGTTGGTTGATTTCTTATTCTCAGAGGAGGCAGCTCGGGCTGCAATCATTATCTTGATGTAAGTAAAGACAATAATAATGATCATAAATAGGAAAAGGATCTGCAAAATTATAGCACGTGTTTGTGCCTGCCACTCTTCCCCCATCATTACCTCTGCACTACACAAAGCATAGGAGAACAGAGCACCAGGAGGAACTACAAATAAATATGCAATCAATGTGAACAGTGGAGCTATGGAGCTGATACCCCATATGAATAGAAATCCAAAACATCTGTTTCTGCTGGTAGAGATGTCAGCATGTCTTAAAGGCATGCATATAGCAACATAGCGCTCCAGACACATTGCTACAAGAGTCAGTGGAGTACAAATGGTGAAAATAGTTGCAATTGTACACACAATTATGCAAGGAATCATGTGTATGCGGTACTGGTATAAATTCACAATCATTAGCATATCAGTTAAAACCATGAGAGCAGAATCAACAAATAAGGATTGTGCAAACAAAATGTAGCGAGTGTCCTCCCTGAACACTGCCTTGTTCAGAAAGGTAAATATCATCAGACAGTTCACATACAGAAAAATCCCCACCAGAACCTGCACCAATGTCATCTTCACGAATAAAGATCTTGACAGTTCTGTTAACACATTCAAACTTAAGTTACTGTTAATTACCGAGTTCTGCATGTTTGGAATAAAAGCTTTAAAAAGGTACAGTTGATTTTAAAAATACACATTTTACAAGTCAACAACTGTAGGACAAAATCTGTATAAAGCAAAAACACAAGTGCAGGGAGCACAACAAAAAATATGCTCATTGTGCTCAATGCTCAACATTTCTCATGCGTTTATAGTCTTTGGTAAAACTATCAAATCTGAGATAGAGAGGAGGAGCCTGTGGGACATGTTGCTTAAACAACAGCATTGCAACAATTTTCATCACTAATTACGTTTTGAGTCATATTTAAATGATGTTCTCTTACTTTCATTTTCTGGCCACACTTTTTTAAAGGCTTGCTCCTTAATGATTACTAAAGCATCAGCAAACATTTACTAATGACCTGTAAACAGAAACATAATTTGTGAGCAAGCTTAGAAATGTGTTAGTAATGTGTTTATATTATGTGTTAATAAAGGTCTCTGTAAATTAGTTATTAATGTTGACTGTTGAGTTACATATTAATTAGTTGTGATCTTTCAGCTGAATGCATACTTGAAATGTTTTGGTGTGATATGTTAATCAAGAAATATTTACACTGACCACACATGATAGTAAATGCTAGTAAATGGTCACATTTCAGTTGCAAGTTTACTCATATGTCTTATATGTTCTAAACATGTTTGTATGAGAACTCATCAGAACTCAAACAAAAGACTAACAATCATGCAGTGATTAGCAGATGACTTTTAAAATGTAATTTACAGATCTTCTTCACATTCACATCTTAACACATTATACATACATTTTTAACAAATTTCTAAGCCTGCTTATAAATGATTTGTATATTTGGGCATTTCTAGTGCTTGCTAATAGCTAATTAATTGTTCAAAATCAGGCCTTAAAATAAAGTGTCACTCATTTTCCTTCTACTAAATATTCTGAATATTATTTCACCAGGTAATATGTATATTCCACACAAATGAATACAATCACCATATATTGCTAAGATAGTAATACCGCTTCTAAACAAATTCAGGTATGTCTTCATAAAAGTCAATATTCTTCTTGATATATGGTTGTTTAAATTTTAACAAATTCTATTGCCACTATTGTTTTTTTTTTGACATGACAGTTAAAGTCACATTATATAGTTCTGCCACAGTATTTGTAGCTTTTACATATCCTTTCATGGTAATCATTGAAGCTGCAGTAGGTTACTCAGTAGGCATAAAAATAACTTTGTCAGATTTGCTAAAACTGTCACCATTCCCAGACTCCACCTCCTCGGACTCCTCCTAATGCCATTTGAAAGAATCCACTGCAGCCGTATCAAAACAATCAATCAGAGCCCTTAGGAGCGTCTGATAGAGCATTAATCACTGCTCAAGTTTAAAAGAAAGAATTAGAGCCAGAGATAAAACAAGGGTTAACATCAGAGCAGCTTTACGGATGTAGCAGGAGCTATGGCACCTGAAAGGCTTCTAATCCAAGGCCAAGTTAGCCATATTTCTGCTTGACAGGTAATTACAGCTATTTTATTTATTGTATTTGATTTTTGGAAGAAAAAAAAAATCACAAACCTAAGATAGTAATGGTACAGTAAGACTGCACTGTTCAGTAAGTATAGTAAGACTGATAGAGCATGTCACAGCTGGGCTAACATTAGGTAGCTTGTTTCTAATGCTAAGTCTACTGGTTACCGTTGTTTTATTTGAAAGTTACTGAAAATATCTTTGTGAAGTGCCCAGGCAGTAATATCGGTTTGCCGTTTGTCCTGATATTAATGTGTGCCTGTACTCTCTAGCTTTGTGGAGTTTAGTTCATGTTCTTAATGGTGTGTTCTACATGCTGTTTACCTGGCCCCCCTTGTTGCCATGGTTGCTAACCTGGGCATGCATGGCAGCCTCCTCTGCAGGGAGGGGCTTTGGAGGCGGGCCTAGAGTACATCGGATGGGAGGGGGAGCGATTTGGAAGTTGTACTCATTCAAATTTTCAAGCCCACTCACTCTAACCTGGCTGAGCTTAGCCTGAAAAGTAAATATGAGGGGGCCCATGTGGGCCCACCATCCGCTAGGTTCAGCTGGTAGGACTGGTGCTTTGCCTTATAGGCAGTGGGACACGGCAGGGAGGTCCTTGGAAGCATGGACCCCTGTGGCGGAAAACTGGCACTTGGAATGTAGAACATAACCTCACTGGGGGAAGGGGCTAGAGCTTGTACGAGAGATTGAGAGGTACCAACTAGATATACAGCATTGGTTCTGTAACGAAACTCCTTAATAGGAGTTGGTCCCTCTCCTACTTAGGAGTTGCACAGGGTGAGAGGCACCAGGTGGGTGTGGGGATACTCACAAGCCCCAGGCTGGCTGCTGTGCGTATGGAGTTTTTTCCCGTCAATGAGAGGGTTGCCTTAATGTAGACTAAAATCGTAAGGAGGAAAACTGTGTTTATGCACAAAACAACAGTTCAGAGTATTCAGACTTCTCTAAGCCAGTGGGTGGGGTTATGGAAAGGGCCCCTCCTACAGACTCCATGGTCTTGCCAGGAGATTTCAATGCTCATGTTGGCAATGACTGGGAAGGGTGATTGGAAAGAACAGCCTGCCTGATCTAAACCCAAATGGTGAATTGTTATTCGACTTCTGTGCTAGGCATTGATTGTACATATCAAACATTAAGTTCAAACACAAGGATGTTCATAAGTGTGCTTGGTACCGGAGCTCTTTAGGTCAAAGGTCAATGATTTACATTACTGTCATTTTGTTTGACTTCGGACCATATGTTCTAGACACCTGGGTGAAGAGAGGTGCTGAGCTGTCAACCAATCACTATTTGGGGGTGAGTTGTATCAGATGGCAGAGAAGACCCAAGACCCAAGCAAACAGTGATCGTGCACTGGGAACGACTGGCAGAGGCCCCTGCTCTGAATGATTTTAACTCGCACCTCCAGGAGAACTTCTCATGTGGCAGGGAAGATGGGGCACCTGGAGTCTAAGTGGACCCAGTTTAAAACCTCTGTTGTGGAAGCCACTAGACATAGCTGTGGCTAAAAGCTTGTTGGTGCTCATCAAGGCAGCAACTCAAGAACCCCCTGGTAGACACCAGTGGTAAAGGAGGCCATCATGCTGGACAAGGAGGCCTTTAGAAATTGGTTGCTCCTTGGTGGAAAGGCACCGGGGGTGGATGAGATTCACCTGGAAATGCTTAAGGCTCTGGATGTTGTGGGGCTGTTATGGGTGACATGCCTCTGCAATGTTGTGTGGACCACAGGAACAGTACCCTTGGACTGCCAGACCGGGATTTTTAAGAAAGAGGAGAGAAGAGTTTGTGCCAGTTACTGGGATATCACATCACTCAGCCTCCCTGGGAAAGTTTATGCCAAGGTGTTGGAGCTTGGATTGAGGAGGAACAATGTGGATTCCATCCTGGCCATGGAAAAATGGTGTCTGTACACCCAACATTAATCAAGCTTCTTGTGAGTGTTGGACTCTGCCAAGGTTGTGCCTTGTCTCCACTCCTGCTCATGATATTCATAGACATGGGGTCAAGGTGTTGCCGAGGTTAGGAGGGCATTATGTGTGGAGGCTGGAAAATGGCATCTCTGCTTTTTTCGGATGATGATGTCCTCATGGTTCCATCACATGGATGCCTCCAGCAGTCACTGGAGTGGTTTGCAGCTGAGTGTGAAACAGTGTGCGAATCAGCACCTCCATGTCTGAGTCCGTGGTCCTCACCCAGAAAAGGTTGGCATGCCTACTCCAAGTAAGGGGAGAGGACCTGCCTCAGGTAGAGGAGTTTAAGTAGTTAGGGGTCTTATTCATGAGTGATGGGAAGAAGGATCGAGAGATTACGCAGTCATTGTACCGCAGTCACTGTAACACAGTCACTGTACCATACTGTAGTGGTGAAGAGGGAGCTGAGCCATAAGGCAAAACTGTTTACTGGTTGGTCTACATCTCGACCCTCATCTATGGTTATGAGCCTTAGGCAATGACTGAAAGAATGAGATTGCAGAGGTGGAAATTGGTGGAAATGAGCTTCCTTCGCAGCTTCACTCTACTTGATAGGGTGAGGAGCTCAGTCATCCAGGAGGACCTCAAAGTAGAGCCAAACTCTTCCACATTGAGAGGAGCCAGTTATGGTGGTTCAGTCATCTGACTAGGATGCCCCTGGCCACCTCCCACTGAAGGTTTACCAGGCACGGCCAACTGGGATGAGACCCTAGGTTGTCTTAGGACCCGCTGAAAGAGTTACATCTCCAAGTTGGCCAGGGAGTGGCTTGGGATCTCCCAGCATGAGCTGGAGTACACTGCAAGGGACAGGGTCATCTGGGATTCTCTGCTTTCCCTAATGCTACCATGACCCTAGATGAATCAAGTGATTTAAGAAAATGAATGAATGAATGAAAGAGTGAATGAATGACACTGTTAGCAAAAATCCCATTTAACCTTATAATAAATTGTGGCACACTTTTAGAATCATTATAAACCATAGTTTACAGTTAAATTGCTATGCTACTAAGCTCATTTTTGTGGTTTTAGCTGATCAAAACTAAGCAGTCTGGAAATGACAAGATTGAATTTGCCACCATACTAACATTAGCACAGACACAAACAAAATAAATACCCTTGTAAAAAAAATAAACATCTCTAAATTTAGATTTTACACAAATTCAATTTGAGTCATGCACTACAGTTTCTCTTGGGAATTCTGGAAAGTGCTTAGGCACACTTGCAACATTTGCTACAAAAGGCAATGTTTTTTTTATAATTACCTAATCATCATCTTCGCAAGTGTTGTACGGTGTGACTATCACAAACACTACCAATCAGCGTGTCAAATTAACTATTCAGAATTACTCGTCATATCAACTTTTGTTATTTGATGTACAATAATGCTGTGTTGATTATTTAATAAAAGATAACAGTTGCAGTCATTTTTGTCAAGGTATCTGCCTCAAGATTTGATCATCATTTAAACACACAGCTGCTTGGACATTAATTTTATTCTAATTTCATTCTCAATGCTGAAATTCTTAGACATTTCAGAGTTATATACATCCATCCTTCATTCTGGATACATCTGACTAAATTTTTTACACATTTCATTCCCTGTTTTAAACCTTTTCCCACTAATTATTTGAAAGCTTCATAGCTTCACCATCCATTTATAGAATGTATTTTCTTCTAGAATTCACCGGTGGACTGTACTTATTGGGTTTAGGCCTTAACTTTACTTGGCATCATGAAAATAAAAATCACTGTAATATCAAAGATACTTGCAAACCATTGTCAAATCCATCCTCCTTGCTACACCTTGCATTTCAATTAAAAAAATTACTTTTCAATACTGATTGAAGCCATTGCAGATATAGTCAGGACTGTCCTGAGGTGTTCCTCACATAGGTCTTATGTTCTTTCCACAGAAGCAGTTGAAACTGGAATTGTTAAAATTAAACTTGTCAGTAAATATAGCTGGTGCATACTGTCACACCAGTTCCCAGCCCAAGGGTAATGTTAATCGCAAGAAAATGATAAACATACACTTTTCCTGCCTGAGTAAGTAGCTCAAGTTGAGGTGTTGGTCACCCTTTACTCACAATATCCAGTTTTTCTTTGAAGGTCTGTCATGGTGTTAACAATTTGTTGACAATGCAGACACCATCAGCCTACAGCAGTAATGATTTAATTTTTTCAGTAATACTATAGAAATCATTATACAAAAACTTCAAAAATCACAGTTAACCTCCACAAACCTGCTGCCCTGCAAAGCCAATCCAGATCTTGAGTACCATGCAACTACTGCAGAGAGGCTGGAATCCTTTACTTTACTTCAACAAACATACTTTCATACTAGATCTTTACTCAAAGACATTTGATCAGAAATTACCAAGCTTGTTTTATCAATAAAAACTCTTTTCTTACACTTGGCTCTATATATAAAAAAACCTCTAAAATTAGCAATAATTAAACCTATGATTAAGAAACCCAAATAGATCCCTGCAAGCTATCAAATTATAGACTTACCTTAAATCTTTCCTATATATATCAAAGATTTTGAAAAAGCAGTGGCACTACAACTACGTTTCTACTTGCACAGGAATCACATATACATTTCAGTCTAGATTGAAGCCTCATCATACAATAGAGACAGCACTAGTAAAAATTTTAAATAATCTCTTATTCTCTGACCGGGAAATGTATCTTTGCAGGTTCTGCTTTATCTTAGAGCTGCCTTTATATAATACACCACATTCCTACTAGACAGAAAACCGTGTAGGAGTAACAGGAATAGCTCTTAAATTTATAGCAAACAGTCAGTTTTTTACCTGACTGTTTGCTATAAGTTTCTGTATGTAAACAGTATATCAACTGTTCGAATAAAAGTGTGTTCTCCACAAGGTTCTGTTTCAGGACCTCTACTGTTCACATTTTATATATTTTACAACTAAGTACTGTTCCCAGACAACATGACATGAATTTTCAGTGCTATAGTCATGACATACATTTGTCTATATCGGCCAAACTAGTTAAATTTTAACTCAATAAGATTGAGGACTGCTTGGAGGACAAAAAACACTGGATGTAGAAAAATATCCTTATACCCTACATCCAGGTTCTTTTTAGTCCAAAAGCTGCTAGAAATAAAATTTCATGCTAAAACTTAATAGCTTCTCAGTTGCATCAGGTATAGAAGTGAAATACACTGACATCACAATCAATCCTGATCTGTCCCTCAATGCACATATGAGCAATATTACTAGAAAAGCTTTCCTTCATTTTTGAAATATTGTCAAGTTAAGAAATCATAACCCCAGCCACTAAAACTGTAAGTTCTGAAATAAAGTACGGAGTGTTTTTGAAAAAACTGATTCAGCACATGCATAAATGTCTCGATGTAACAGCTTTACTTTCTATTCAGTTTCTTTTGAATGTATTGAGATCACACGTGGTAGTGAAACCTAGTTTTACAGTGAGGAGTAGCTAAAATACAACTGAGTAGAGTGAGAGCCTATATTCTTTTCCACCAATCATAGTGGTCTAAAAGCAGGATCACATAGGGGAGGGGTAGCGAGCAGACACAGACCAAGAGACAAAGAGAGAGAGAAAGAAATACCCTCAAGCAGAGTGAGTGGCAGTGGGGAGAG